TAACAGGAACTTTCGTGTGCAACTCCACATTGTGGAGGTCCGCAGCCGAGCGCAAGCTGCCGAGCAGACACTTCTCGCCGGGCTCGGCGCTCACCACCACAGCGTCGAGAGGCCACTCCGAGATGTCCCCGAAGTTGTAGGACTCGCCCCAAACAATGTAGTCCATGTCCGACCAAGGTCCATGCTCGTATTTGTTTGCAATTTCGAGCTGCCAAGTGCGAATAAATGTTTCTTCCGCATCTGACATCGCCGACGAAGCAGAAGAAGCAGAAGACGAAGAAGCGGCCATGGCATCCATATGTGCAAAGTAGCAAGCAGGCTCGAAGGAACTAGGTCTCTCGGGCCAAAGCTGTCAATACAAGCAAGCAGAGAGAACACTCCGGTCACGACAATCCGCTCCACGCGATCCCTCACTTCCTGCCATTCTCCAGGCTGATCATTTCCACGATCTCGTCCTCAGACGTTTCCGTGATTACCTTGATAATCTCGGTGATTTTACCACTGGATGATGCATGTGCTACAGTAATGGTCCAGGTGATTGGGTCTCGCGCGACAGCAGCTTTGGCCGCGAGCTAGACACACAGCCCGCTGGCGGAAGGCAGCTTTCGCAAGACAGCGTCGACTGCTCCGTGTGAGACGTTTGCAAAACCGTACCCTCGCTTGCTGCAGGTCCGTGACCTGCAGCACAAGGATTGAGAGGGTCGGCATATCCTTCTCACAAGACAAAAACTACACCTTGTCTCCAGTCACCTTGTCTCCTGTTTTCCAGGCCTCGCAAGACAGGCCAAAGGAGCCAGTACACTACATAAAGCACATCCGTGTTCACTTGAATCTGCGGGAAGTCGAAGTCCGGCTCGTTGGGTGGGAAAAGGTACTCGGGGTATCCTAAGGACATCCTCGCATCCAGATACTCACCAATGAGACGATTCACATTTCCAGGCAGGCCCTGCAACTCCAAACTATCAGCACCCGAGGTCCATAGCAGCGCCACAGTGATGGCCACGGGAGCCGACATCTAAACTGCTATCATCGCGCCGAGCTTGAGCCGGTTGTGCAGCTGAAGCAGGAATGTCAAGGTCGGTGTCGATTCGAATGTGCGTCGCAGGACACGCCCCGCTTTACATTCCGTTGCAAGGCTGCCTAGGATGCCGGAAGAGCCCCGGAAGAGCCCCTCCGCTGTCGGTTGGAAACCGACAGCGGAGGCCAGACACGCAATCCACTCGCGAAATGCAGCTTTCGCAAGACAGCGTCGACTGCTCCGCGTGGGGACGTTTTGCAAAACAATACTATCGTTGCTTCGAACAGGTCAGTGACCTGCAGAAACAAAGGGACCTCAAGGCGCACGGAAGCCGTGCAACGGCATTCCCGGCGCGAACTCCGGGTCCATAATTTCTTGGATCCTGCGCAGCAGCTGCACGATCCTTTCGTGTTCCCGAGACCAATCTTGCATGGTACGCATCAGCTCAGCTAACTGCACGTTCATTCGCGCTTGATCCAGCAGCATGTTGTTCAGCTGACCTTGAAATGTATGCACAAGGACCTCATAATTCACTGGAGTGGGGTACACGTTTGCATTCGCGCTGGTGTCCGATCCAACTCCATCCTCGCGAGAATCCTGTTGCGCTTGGTCCGGACCTTCCACCGTGGATGTAGTTGCATCTCCAGGATGGGTATCCATGGCGCCAAACAGACACGAAGAACGGAATCTAACTCAGCAGCTGCGTGGAAGAATGTAGCATGCGAGCAGGAGCAGCCAAGATTCGCCTTCGCTATCAATGAAGCTGCCTGAGCTCGCGCCTACCTGACAAGACGCCATGGAACAAACAGCATTTTTGTCGTGTCAAGGCCGAGAGAATCGCGCATCTAAGACTCAATCAGCGGCTTTAGAACATCACTGCTACGTGCAGAGGCTAGATACAGCCCACTGGCGGAATGCAGCTTCGCAAGACAGCGTCGACTGCTCCGCGCGGGGACCGTCGCAAAACTGCACCCTCGCTTCGAGGAGGTTCAGTCAATGCAGCCCACTGGCGAAATGCAGCTTTCGCAAGACAGCGTCGACTGCTCCGCACGCGGACCCTTGCAAAACTCCACCCTCGCTTCGAGGAGTTTGAGTCCACGCAGCCCACTGACGGAAAGCAGCTTTCGCAAGACAGCGTCGACTGCTCCGCGCGGGGACCTTCGCAAGACTCTACCCTCGCTTCCAGGAGGTTCAGTTCATTTCCCAAGCGCTGCACTTCACTTTCGATGGCGTCTCCTGCACGAGGCTGCTGGCAGGTCGTTTGTTGCTTTGCAACGCCGGTCCGCCCTTGAGGAGGTTCCAGACCATCTCACGCTCCTTCGAGAATGTCGTGATCTGCTCAGGTGTCACTTTCGACATCCATTCCACCTGCAAAACCACCTCCTGGGTTGCAGCATTCTTGATCACACGGCCCAAGATCAAGCGCGGAAGGCCGTCTGCCATGTTGAAGAGGAAGCAATTTGTGAGTTGACAAAAAGCCTCGATCCCGAATGCCTTTCTGTCTCCTACACGCTCGAGCGTGTGCGAGTACACCTCCTTGTGCTTCGTCAACAGGTGCTTCTCCTCGTCCTTGAACCCCTCCTCCACGGTGGGCTCGTCCTCGGCAAAGGCCACAACGGTCACGTAGTTTGCGAAGACACCGCCTAACTTGAAGAAGGTGCCCATGTCTGAGCACATCAAATCGGCAATCGGACACTGGACTGGCAGCACAGCACCATCTCGCTTCTCGGTCGCAAGACGGGTGACCTTTTTCACCATCGGACGCCGGTCCTCGTCGTACTCCTCCCCGAAGCAGGCGCGAGCTGCCAAGACTTGAAACTGGGTCCAAGTCCGCCGGTCACACTCGCCTGCGAAGCTTGCTGCGCGGAGCCCCCCCGCGGTTGGCCGATGCGGTGCGACGTGCCCAGCCGTGCGTCGCACGGCCCCCTGAAGCAGACTGCCTCACTGCCTTTCAACTGGATCAACTCAACCAGCTTCTCTTCGTCACGGACCCGGGCCAGCGCCGCCAGCTCCGGTCCTCCCACAAGCACGTTGCTGAGCTGCCCCGTCCAGTCCGCCAAGTGCACGGTGGCCAGCACTCGCTGGGCATCCGCAGGCTCCGTCTGACATCCATCGGTGGCACGCTTGCACTTACCGGAAGTTGGGTCGATCTTCGTCGAGCACACTTTGCACGGAGTATAGACTGGATCCCCAACGATGTCGACGAGCCAGACGTTGTGCAGGGCCACTTCGACTTTCTCCTGCGCCAAGCAAAGTCATGCAAGTTGGGGCACGGGAAAGCAGCTTCTACACAACAGAAACACGCGAAGGCAGTCCTGCGTTGATCCCTGCTCCATTGCGCTGCCGAATGCATTCATAGTTGCGGCGCATGCGACGTAGCAGGGCCCGAAGTCAGTGGTCAGCTTGCCGCCACCACTCAAGGAAGGGCACCAAGGAACAGAGATGCGATCGCCTTGCGTGGGTTCCAGATCCCGAAGCTCCCGTGCCCGATCGCCTATGGGGTCCACGTGCAGCATACTAAAGCCGTGCTTGTCGTTGTCGATGAAATGTTCCGCGGCGCCTTCGATGGAATCGTTCTCCTTCTTCAGCAGGGAAAGGTTGTCGATCTGAACGACGCTACCTTTGTGCGCGTTAGCCAGACTCTTTACGAAGCGGTCGCCCCAGATGTTCACCAGCATCTCCTTGCCCGACGTGTCCTTTAACCAGAGGTTGGCTTTGGGCTTGGAGGTATTCGGCATCTCGAGCTCCGTGACCAGTCCAATGACATCCACACGCTCGCGCCCTTGGCACTGTGTCGCCAACACCGAGAAGTCCGACCTTGCAAGGGGGGAAGATGGTCTTGATCTCCATCGCCGACGGGTGGGAAGAAGCAACCGGAATCACTTTGGCCCTCGAGGCTCTATCTGACAAATCCACATAGAGCCCAGCGAAGAATTTGTTATTACTGACCGGCTTGAGGTGCGTGGCATAGAAGACATCCTGGTTCCAGGGATCAGCCACCTTCTTCAGAGTGGAGGCGTCCGACGCGCGAAGCTCCGCGTACAGACCCTTGCCTTCCTTGTCGACGAAGCGCATAATCATTTTGCACCAGGAACCTCCTCTCGCATTGGGCATTTGCTTGATTTCACAGTAGACGTAGCGAAGCAAAACCTTCATGGAAGCGTGGTTTTGCTTAGTGAGGCGCTCCAAGGTGGTTTCAATCAAGTTGTTCTTCTGCGCCATCGGCAAGGCAGGCTAGCAGCACACTGAGCTTTCGCAAGACGGCGTTCACCCAGAGCACCAGCTGCACACTGAGCTTTCGCAAGACAGCGTCCACCCAGGACACCGCCGAAACACTAAGAGCAAAAGGAAATTTGAACCCAAGCTACGCAGCCAGGGGAGGCACTTCCAGCCTAAGAGGTAGAGACATGCACCAGCAAGCACCAGTTCGAGCTGACACGGTCTGTTTTTTCTTGCAAGACAGCATCCATTCGGATCCGTGAACATGGCATTGCGAGCAGGAACAGCCAAGATTCGCCTTCGCTATCAATGAAGCTGCCTGAGCTCGCTCCTACCTGACAAGACGCCATGGAACAAACAGCATTTTTGTCGCGTCAAGGCCGAGAGAATCGCGCATCTAAGACTCAATCAGCGGCTTTAGAACATCACTGCTACGTGCAGAGGCTAGATATACAGCCCACTGGCGGAATGCAGCTTTCGCAAGACAGCGTCGACTGCTCCGCGCGGGGTCCGTCGCAAAACTGCACCCTCGCTTCGAGGAGGTTCAGTCAATGCAGCCCACTGGCGAAATGCAGCTTTCGCAAGACAGCGTCAACTGCTCCGCACGGGGACCCTTGCAAAACTCCACCCTCGCTTCGAGGAGTTTGAGTCAACGCAGCCCACTGGCGGAATGCAGGTTTCGCAAGACAGCGTCGACTGCTCCGCACGGGGACCTTCGCAAGACTCTACCCTCGCTTCCAGGAGGTTCAGTTCATGTCCCAAGCGCTGCACTTCACTTTCGATGGCGTCTCCTGTACGAGGCTGCTGCCAGATCGTTTGTTGCTTTGCAACGCCTCTTCGTGCTTCCTCACCAGGTGCTTCTCCTCGTCCTTGTACCCCTCCTCCACGGTGGGCACTTTCTCCTGCGCCAAGCAAAATCATGCAAGTTGGGGCACAGGAAAGAAGCTTCTACACATCAGAAACACACGAAAGCAGTCCTGCGTTGCTCCCTGCTCCTTTGCGCTGCCGAATGCATTCATAGTTGCGGCGCATGCGACGTAGCAAGGCGCCAAGTCGGAGATCAGCCTGCCGCCACCACTCAAGGAAGGGCACCAAGGAACGGAGATGCGATCGGCTTGTGACGTGCCCAGATCCCGAAGCTCCTGTGCCCGATCGCCTTTGGGGTCCACGTGCAGCATACTAAAGCCGTACTTGTCGTTGTCGACGAAATGTTCCGCGGTGCCTTCGATGGAATTGTTCTCCTTCTTCAGCAGGGAAAGGTTGTCGATCCGAACGACGCTACCTTCGTGCGCGTCAACCAAACTCTTTACGAAGCGGACGCCCCAGATGTTCACCAGCATCTCCTTGCCCGATGCGTCCTTCAACCAGAGATTGGCTTTGAGCTTGATCGTACTCGGCATCTCGAGCTCCGTGACCAGTCCAATGACATCCACACGCTCTCGGTGTTGGCACTGTGTCGCCAACACCGAGAAGTCCGACCTTGCAACGGGGAAGAGGGTCTTCATCTCCATCGCCGACGGGTGGGAAGAAGCAACCGGAATCACTGTGGCCCTCGACGCTCTGTCTGACAAATCCACATAGAGCCCAGCGAAGAATTTGTTACTGACCGGCTCGAGGTGCGTGGCATAGAAGACATCCTTGCTCCAGGGATCAGCCACCTTCTTCAGAGCATGGGCGTCCGACGCGCGAAGCTCCGCGTACAGACCCGTGCCGTCTCTGTCCACGAAGCGCAGAATCATTTTGCACCAGGAACCTCCTGTGGCATTGGGCATTTGCTTGATTTCACAATAGACGTAGCGAAGCAAAACCTTCATGGAAGCGTGGTTCTGCTTAGTGAGGCGCGCCAAGGTGCCATCAATCAGGTTGTTCTGCGCCATCGGCGAGGCAGGCAAGCAGCACCCTGAGCTTTCGCAAGACAGCGTTCACCCAGAGCACCAGCTGCACACTGAGCTTTCGCAAGACAGCGTTCACCCAGAGCACCAGCTGCACACTGAGCTTTCGCAAGACAGCGTTCACTCAGAGCACCGCCGAAACACTAAGAACAAAAGGCAATTTGAACCCAAGCTACGCAATCAGGCACTTCCAGCCTCAGAGCTAGAGAGACATGCACCAGCAAGCACCAGTTCGAGCTCACATGGTCTGTTTGTTTTTTTTTTTTTTTTAGCATCCATTCGGTTCCGTGAACATGGCAGAGCAGTGCATAACTCGCAAGAGAGCCCTGTCCTTGTGGCCAAGCTTCCTGGCAATGCCGCGGTCTTTCAGGCGACGGTGTCCAATCGCGGGCGTGGATCCTGCAAATAATGGCAAATGGATCGGCAGACAGGCACCAAGCAGCGCTGTGCAGCTCGGTTCAGGTACGCTGCAATGCCACACCACGTCATGCGTGCAGCACGGAAGGCCGACCAAGGCCGGCATGATGCACGGGACGGGCTGAAATCGGCCGAGCTTTGCGCACTTAGATCATCACCGCCAAAAAAACGCGCAAGGCGTTGCAGTGCAGCAGCATCCGCACGACGCTGCGTCGATGATGATGTGCTGACAGTACATGAAGACGCAGCATCGTCCACAAACTGAGCACCTGCAGATGCATCGGTGGCTGCAAGCCGATCTTCTGGCATCGAGGCCTCTCCGCTCTGAATACGCGAGCCGGGGCCGAACCAACTCGCGTTTCCACGCAGTGCCAGGTCGTGCGTGGCTCGGCGGAGCCAGTCGGCCATGACTGACTGGACTGGAAAAAATGCCGTGCAGGATGCGAATTACCCTTGACAACATGACATGAAGCAATCCATAATTTTGCGTCATCAAAGCATCGAGGGAGGTAAAGGACGACGGGCACTTGTTTATAACTTCTCCCCACACCCACTCAGCAGCTTTTTGCACCCTCCGTCGGTGTGCTGGACAGCAATCACTGCTGAATGCAGAGGCTAGGCGCAATGCAGCTTTCGCAAGACAGCGTCGACTGCGTCAATGGGTCCAGGGCAGGCCCCCCCCCCCCCACTGCTGAGGTTTCTTCGCGCAGAAGCTGGATACAGCCCACTGGCGCAATGCAGCTTTCGCAAGACAGCGTCGACTGCTCCGCACAGGAATTAATCACGAGGCCATGGCAAATGACCCCACTTGCGGAGCACGCGCTTGGCGCGTTGCCGTGCAAGATCTTCCACCTCATCCAATTCCAGCCTTTCGCGTTCGCTTGGATTCTGGACATAAAGAAAGCCTCTGCTCACGAGTCGTCGTACAGTTCCGTTCGAGAGAAGGTTGGCAAGGACCCTCTCGTCCTCCGGCGTGTGTGTAGCCTTCCAAGAACAGCAGTACCAATGATCCGCGGAGTCCTTGCTCAAACCCAGGGTTCTCTGAACGCGAAAAGCATCGTTGAAAGCTTCCCACTCCACGGCATCCAAGTTCAGCCGTCGCCGAAGCTCTGGATTATTCACGTGCTGAAGACCTGTTCGCACCCGAAAGATAATCTCCGAGTCCGAGGCAGGCCGAAGCATTTCATTTATTTCCCAGTCCGTCCAGCAGCTGTCTTCCCTGTAGCTCTTAAGAATGCTTGGATGCAGTTTATCCACTCTCGGATATTGAGGTCTGCGAGAGCGCATCATTCGAAGAGTCCGACGTCTTCGATGCGGAGGACAGCATGCAGGCACGAGCATGGCAACGCCTGCACCCCTCCAGAGTCCAGGACACCCCTCGAGCCCCACACAACAGCCGGTCAAATGCCATGCATATCCTGCACCTGGAGCTGCAAAGCACGGCTTCATCACGACGGCCTGCAGCTACGTCGAACACGACTGTGATCCGATCGATCGTCGAACGTGAAACAGAACTCCACTGGCGGAATGCAGCTTTCGCAAGACAGCGTCGACCGCTCCCGCCGTGCCTGGATGTCCGGTTTTATCGCATGCCACATGTCTCGACCTTCTACACGACTGTGATGCGATCGATCGTCTAACGTGAAACAGAACTCCACTGGCGGAATGCGGCTTTCGCAAGACAGCGTCGACCGCTCCCGCCGTGCCTGGATGTCCGGTTTTATCGCATGCCACATGTCTCGACCTTCTACACGACTGTGATGCGATCGATCGTCGAACGTGAAACAGAACTCCACTGGCGGAATGCGGCTTTCGCAAGACAGCGTCGACAGCTCCCGCCGTGCCTGGATGTCCGGCAACCGCCGAATTAAGCGTAGTCCTGGACAAGTGAAAGGATCAGCTCGCGGACTGTTGTTCCTCATCTGATGGGTCACGCAATTCGATAATCTCGCGCTGCGGCACCGTGACATCGAGGGCCTCCAAGAGCCGTGTCACAGCTGCAAACGCCTCCAGCAGAAGCCCTTGATGTCCCTTCAATGCTGCAGGCGGTGCAGGATCAGCATCATTAGGACGAAAGGACATGCGCAAGAGGTTCAATGGCGTGAAGACCCAACCTCGATCGGCAGGTGTGCTCTCCACCACTCTCCGCAATTCTTCTGGGTCTGTCACGCGCTTCAGCAGAAGATCGCCTGCTTCAGGTGCGACCGCAGCAATGGCGAGATTACATATTTGCAATGCCGGGAGATCCGGCAGGTCGCGAAGCGACAGAGACAAAGCGTCGCAGAGAGTGCCCACATCCGGATTGCGCGTCCACGGCAGCGGCACCGTGACTTCCAGGGCCTCCAAGAGTCGTGTCACGGCTGCAAACGCCTCCAGCAGAAGGCCTTGATGTCCCTTCAATGCTGCAGGCGGTGCAGGATCAGCATCATTAGGACGAAAGGACATGCGCAAGAGGGCCAATTGCGTGAAGACCCAACCTCGCTCGGCAGGTGTGCTCTGCGCCACTCTCTGCAATTCTTCCGGGTCTGTCACGCGCTTCAGCAAAAGATCGCCTGCTTCAGGTGCGACCGCAGCAATGGCGAGATAACATATTTGCAATGCCGGGAGATCCGGCAGGTCGCGAAGCGCCACAGACAAAGCATTGTAGCGAGTGCGCACATCGGGATTGCACGTCCGCCGCAACGTTGCCATGGC